TCAAAAGTCTTTTTGGTCTTGAGCTCTATACATAATTAATGAATTTTACTAACGTTAATTCAATTTTGTGATCGGAATGAGTATCAGTAAAGAGAGTACCTTTAGACCTACATATATAACGTATACTCGTAAACTGACTTAATGGATTTACTCGAACTGGGCTTAATTTTGTTGAACGTTTATTTTAAATAGATTTTGTCAATGAACGTGGAGTGTACAGTAAAGTTAATGTAATATAAAAAAAAGTTTATACTGTTTCTTATTAAACACTCATGTGATCTTCTGTCTATAGTCTCTTAACATTAATGCTGGTACAACAATGTATGTCTTCAGGAAGGCAGTAAGTTGTCATCATCTGACCCTCGTCCTGCACCACTCACCTGCTGCTCCTCGAGAACAGACCACCACCTCCCCACAACAGACGGCGCCCTCCATCCTACTGAGAGGATAGTATGTAGTACGGGTATGTAGTCTGTCTAGTTGATCTCGACATGTGTAAAACGTTTCATACACCTAAAAACCATATTAAAACATTTACATAGTAATCTTACGATAATATACCTCGAAAATCATATCTCTATTTGTGCTAATACTTGAAATGTTTTAATACCAATAACATAATTGCTTCGTGATCGGAGAAGCACAACTCAGTCTTAATAGTGGTTCTTGAAGGATACACACTGCCCGGCGAAGGACACACCTCATTGGTTTTCAAACTGAGCTCTACGACCATCTGTGAAATGTTAAATGTGTAAAATATTATATGATTAAAGAATTTGTATGTCACTAGATAGAAAAGTTCAACATTAGTTATTCCTACTTCAATACAACTTCTCGGTGGTATTTTCACTGTTATACTCTCTGTCTTTGTTCTGTCACCATCGATACAGTGAGTTTTACAGATATGTTTGGAGAGTCCCAACAGCCAAGGCGCTGCTGTGTTAGCCGTATCTCTAACGGCCCTTCTCAAATGTTCTGAAGTTTCACCGTTTTGCGAACTCTCATTGGAAATTAAAAACATCATTCAGTCTTGTTGTTGTATGTTAGTATATAGGAGTACTCGTATGTTATACGATTATTATTTCCAAGCTAGATTTATGTTATATTTGATATTTTATGCTCGCCTCATAACATCACCGGCGGTCAGTTCCAGGGCACATCATGTCACTCGTATCTCAGACTGAGTGATTCTGAGGTCGGAGTGTCGTTCAGCTTCACGTAGCGCCAAGCACTGGACGGGTGGCGGAGGGAGGTACCACGCGACACTACATACAAATGAAACAAGACACAACATCAAGGTTGTATCTGTAATTGTTTATTATAGCTTTCATTTAACTCGTAAGTTAACTTTTAGTAAAAAAAGCGTTCTACATGATAACATCTCTACAAATCATTCTTTCAAGAAGTGCTGCGCATTATACGTACTAAGATTAGTCTATGATAGTATTGCTCTCGGGAAAATATTATATCAACAATATTCTCACCCGCACTCGTTGACTGGTAAACTTCGAAGCATTAAAGTTTAATAAGGCGCCATTTCATGACGTGGAATCGACCGTATTGTTAATGAGGCACTCTCTCCCTCTTTTATCGACATCTGCAGCGGCTCGACCTGCGTGAACATTATTTTCAAACATATTTTTTCTCTTGTGATAATGTTTTATATAGACATCGCTAAAGTCAGTGAAAACATGTAAACCTGATAAAACGATTCATCTTGTATTCCAAAGTCGGCTGCCAGATATAACTCCACAACTATGTCCATCTCTTCTTCGTACACACTTTGTTCTGAAACCTCTTCATCTATGAAACTTCTTGCTATTTTAAACGAGAACTATAAGTCGGTGTTTATTAAACTACTTACATAAATATTAGTAAAAATCAAACTCACAACTGAGTGCAGAGAGACAAGGACAGACACGAGGTAATACATCAAAAAGACGCAAGTAGACACAGAATGGAAACTCTTGTTGTTTAAACTCTGAAATTTTCATTATGATATGAATGGTTTAATATTGATGATTATGTTATTATTAGTTAATAAAAGGATTTAATAATTATATGTTCCCGGCTACATACGTGCGGATGATGTTAATATTTTCTTCAGAAGCGTAAATATTGTGCGGTTTCATAAATGTCAATGAATTCACTAAAAGTTGGAATACAACTTATTTCTTTAAGATAATATGTAGTAAATATATTCGTTAGCTCTGTTCTATCAATGTATAATTATAATTCCCGTAGATTTCAGACAGGTATATTTACATATACATTCAAAAACATGTAAGAAAAATAACAAAACAGAATTATATTTAGGATTCTATAAATTAACAGAAATGTTAATAAAAATCTCATGATACAAATTTACCGTTTAATATTTAATAAAATAATAACCTATACCATCAAAAATTTATCATAATACTATGTTCTTGTGACAAAATATGAAATTTGTAACAGTTTCACACACACCTTTCCAATCCACTTCAAAACTGAGTTTATGCTAAATTTTTTAGAAAAGTTAAGAAGAAAAACATGTCAGCATTCCATGGAATCATCATGCGGGTGCCGGGACCTAAGCGTTGCAGGGAGAGGCGATTTAACAGTGACTGTGACTTGTGACCCAGGTGTAGGTTTAATATATTTAACGCTCGCTAAACACTCACCTATACTGGCGCATTTACCGTAACCGTAGAAACGCATTGACCGCCTAACTATAATCGCGGCCCGTATGAGGTATATCTTGTATTCCGCCTACCGAGACACAGACAATGACATTTATTTGATTTTGTCCTCAATCCATCCGTCAGCTCACAGAATGTATCTACTGCATTCTGAAGAACTTGACAATGTTTGTGGTTCCGTGTCCGAATTGCAAGATCGTCAGCGAAGGCTTAAATGGATCCCGTGTATTGATTATTACTAAACTTGAACCGATATCCTTATTTCTACTCGTTACTTATTTATTTATGTACTAAGATATTGAATACAATATTAAATAATTTTTTAGATAAACAATGTAATGTAATTTCTAAATTGCTAGTGCGTTAACGTAAATGTACAATTTCTATAATAAGTGTTACCATTTTCTTTAACAATATATGGATACACTGTCAATTCGGCGCGTGAGGTATTCGTTATGTTTACGAGCCGAGTGAGAGACTCTGGAATTAATTAAAATACCGAGTTATTATTCAAGGGTTTAGCGACATGTTCACGGTCTTATAAAAGGACGAAAAAAGGACACTTACGAAATATATTTTAATAACACCCTAAAGAAGTATTTTTTTATAACATTACCGTTGTTTACCAAAATACAATAGAAGAAATATTTTAATCTAATGATAAAAAAATATCTCGTAATTTATATCTTTATTTTCAATTAAAGTTTTAACAAATTTAAATAACATTTCGATCGTTACATTTCGTTTATTTGTAGTTGTTCATATATTTATTATCATTTACAGGATATCATAACCTTACCACAGCACCGGCCATTGAGAGTCTCGTGTTCGTAAGGCCTCGGCCTCGAATTTTGCGGGCAGCGGAGCGGCAGCGGGAGCGGCAGGATCTTACGCGTATAATCAAATGGACCGACCCTCGAATACAGCGGTGCCTGCTGCCCGCTAGTTTGGAGAATAGTATGCGTTTCCGTGCCGCCGCCGCCGCCGCTCCGCTGCCCGCAAAATTCGAGGCCGAGGCCTAAAGCGAAGCTCCGTGGCGAGCCGACCGCCTCCACCCACACGTCTATGATCAGCAGCTCCAACTCCTCCACCTGTGAATGAAAGAAGTGTTGATTGGAAAATACGAATAAGGTCGCTGGAACCGTATAGGTGACCTCGCGCAGTACTACAAACAAGTAGGTTTGACCTGTACTAAGACGCCGTGCATGTTGTCTAAGAATTCCCTCAACAAAACATGAAACATTCTCTCGACCCTACAGTCTTCATAGTCAGTTTGTCTGGAGTCCTCTCAGTGAGTTTCCTACGCTAGTCAGTCATGGTCATACAGTAGATACATTGTCACATCTCTCAGATCTCTTCCTTTGATAAAAGTCTCATCAGCTACTGTCTTTGTTTATGAGGATCATGTCATCTTATTCTGCATTCCCGTCACTCCTCTAATTACTTTATTTATGTCTCTTCAATAGGGAGAAGCATACGACAACTTTATTATATTAAAATTATAAGATTCCTGTTTGATTAAAAACCAGCATTCATTCATGCGGACATTCCTCGGTACATTCATCCATTTTAAACTCATGTTTGAGCTACTGAAAAAAGAATAGCCAAAAACTTATAATATCAGAGGCCATTTAGGAACTAGTAGAGTTTGTTCCTCCTTTTATATATTTGGTATTTTTTAGGGTTGAAGTCAGTGGTGGCCTAATGGTTAAGGGGTCCGCCTCTCGTTGCCGAGGGCGCGGGTTCAAATCTTGGCAAGTACCGATGTGATTTTTCGGAGTCATATGTACTTTCTGAGAGTATTTAGATATCACTGACATACGGTGAAGGAAAACATCGTGAGGAAACCTGGACTTATAGTTTCACAATTATAAGTTTGAAATCACCAACCCGTCTTGACCAAGCGTGGTGATTAATGCTCAAACCTTCTCCATGTGAGAAAGAGGCCTTGCTCAACAGTGGGCTTTGGATAGGCTGATGACAAGGGCTGAAGTAACTTCGACAGTAAAGAAACGTCTGATGTTTAATTCATGAATTACGTACGGAACAATTGAAAACAATTATGTTCGGTGTGTATTAGTTCATCTCGTCTTCATTCAATGTAAGCTCATCATCACTTTAATAATTACTATGTTAATTATGTTGCGTCTCCTGTTACGACGGATACAAAGAGATTTGTGATGAGCTCGTTTATAACATGATTTAACAGGATAAATGGTAATTGGGTTGCAGAAAAAAAAAATTAATCATTATAAACTTATTTTACCTGTATTAACAAATGTTATATTTTATTAAATGTATTTCTACCTTCTTCCCAGTATGAACGATCCGGTGTCGAGGTCCCTCGTGTCTTCGGACGGCGCAGCTCCAGCGAGCGTTCAGACGACAAGTGTTAAGGAGAGTGACCACACGAGACCGAACTAGAGGGAACATTCATAATGAACTGATAACACGATGTAACTATGCGTTAATAAGCGTTTATACTGTTGATTTATTTACATTAGAATCTCACTGATTCAAAATCATATGACAGACAGGGACGGTAACTGTTGTGTATATATAAACTAGAAGACCCGGGGAACTTCGTATCGCCCTATAATCAAGAAATATCTGTTACGTTTTTTTATTTATATTTTTGGAGATTACCTATTAAAGCCATAAGTCTCAATGTTTTGAAATGCGACAGAATAATTGACATATTAGTTAGTTGTCAAATCTAATGTCAAAAAAAACGTTTGTATCAATAACTACATACTAATAAACTAAAAAATAATTAAAAAAAACATTATCCAGCGGACAAAATTGTGAATCTAAACATTCCCACATCCCCTTGAACACACACAAAAAATTTCATTAAAATCGGTTCAGTCGTTTGAGAGAAGTTCAGTGACATACACACTCACAGAAGAATTATATATATAAAGATACTGGTAAAGAAGCTGCATAAAACGAATAAATCCAATAATTTCAGGCTGGGTGATAGAGAAGCAGCGCATCTGCCGGGCGGAGGTCGCTGCCAAGAATCTACGGGCCGTGATGGCGCTTAGACAGAAACACACGGCGCTGCTGCACGAGCTACGGGCCCGCGACCTGGTGGCCATGAGACATAGGGGCCAGGGGCAGAGGTTAGGGTCACATGATATATAACACACTGTAGACTCTATACATGGAAAGGTTACATTGACTTATAGCGACAATAGAGATTATAAAAAAAGGGTAATTGACTAATAAGATACGTATAGACCTTGGACATAGTCAGTGGTGGCCTAGTGGTTAAAAGGCCCGCCTCTCATGCACGAGGGCGCGGGTTCGATCCTGGCAAGTATCAATGTGATTTTTCCGAGTCATATGTACTTTCTAAAAGTATTTAGATATCATTGATTAATGCATTCCTAAAGAGGGTTGATGTCAGGCAGGCGGCCGTCGTAAAAATAAATAGCCAAAACTATTCACAACATGTAAGGCAGACCCTTGCGTAAGCTGGGAAATTGCCAGGTAGAAGAAGAAGACCTTGGATATACAGATAGATTTCATAGCTTATAACGACAATAAAGGCTGAAAAATATGTAATTAATAATTATTAATTAGTTTTGCAAGAACAATGTTTGTTTTTATAAATTACTAGTAAACCCGGCGAACTCCGTTTCGCCACCAGAAGGCTTTTATATAACATTTCGTTTGGTGATTAAAAGATGAAGATTTTTTTTTGTTTTAAATTTGAAAAAGAAAATTTTTATTTCATTTCACTACAGTAATAAATTCATTTCGATTACAAAAATGAAGTGTTATTTAGTTCAACTTCTCTAAGTAAATGTAAGTGAATCCAAAGTAGATACCGAATCGAAGGGTTATACGTGTCCGCAAATTATCCGTTTCATTGAAGTGCTCCTTTGTAAACCACATTTTTTATTTTTTTTGGTCTAACTTTAACACAAATAAAGCGGATGGTTTCCATACTCGCGAACACGCAAAATATAACGCCCATGTGAAAAATAATGATTTTCTAAAATCCCGCAAATACTAAATGGTTTTAAGAGTTCAAACTACAAACGCAATACCGGTTTGTCACATGAAATTAACTGAGCAGAGAACAATGAGTAGCTGTCAAACAATGTATCATACACCGGCCATCTAATTAAAATATTGATTTGTAGTACATGTTTTACAACGAATACAAAACCGTGGAAATTGGTTCGTTCTGTTATGAGCCTCAGGGTTGAAGGGTTTTTAAAAAAAAGATTTAGTGTGAAAAATAGACACGACCGTTTTTAATGGATGATGGATTGAGACTGAAATGTGTGATGGATGGCTGAGCGGGGGCAAGGAGAGAAGAATGCTGATGAGGCAGGAATGATCTATAGAGTCAGCAGAAAAGGGTGCATTTGGGGATATGTAACAGCTCCCCGGGGAAGACTAAACATCGGGGTTGAAATACGATGTTTAGGGAAAAGAGAAGGAGAACTATATATTTCTTCTTAAAGAAGGAGCTGGGATATCTCTGGATTCAGAACGACTATCGTTGTTTCTGGTAGAAGAGATTATTTCAGGGGTAGGTATTTCTGCTGGTGGGGTTGATGAGTCTTCTGGAACGGGTATGGAAGGTCTCAGGAAAGCAAAAAGAAAACGGCCAGTCGATTTAATATAAAGATAAAGTTTAGAAATACAAAATAAAAGAATGATACAAATTATAATTATTAACAAAATAGAATAATGAGTCTCATATTGAATTATAGGATGTTGATCTAAAATTTTATCTGCCTCAGATGAAATTGAATTTAATTTAGATTTCGATTCTTTTGTAAAGATATCAAGGTCAATGTTATTTAATTCGATAGGAGACTCTTTCTTAATCTTAAATCTAAAGTTGTCTAGAATACAGCAAGAGTCATTAATTATATTAAAATCGGATGTTATGGAGGTTACATTAATTGCAAAATTATTAAATTTGGGTATCAATTTAGTAGATTTACAATATGCCACACAATTGATAGGAACATTTAAAATACCTGTTCCCATGATATTTATTTCAATTATATTTTTATCTTGACATTCTATATAAAGTTTATTAGCTTGCGACTGCACAAAAATCCAATTATTATTAGAGAGCGGTTTCCACAGGTCAATATTTCCGTAAATAAATTGCGTTTTACACTGTTTTGGCAGGGAATTAACAACTTTGGACATAATTTCACTTTCACAACTGGGGTTTGCACTCGTAGAGAACACAGTCATCACGTTACAGATGAATTCACGGTGATTTATCGCTTTACACTCTTTGAGTGATTCTAGGTTGCAGTATTCTGACTTATCCTTGGTCATTGCTACATATTTCGTATTTGGTATTATAAAACTAAAAGAATTTGGATTTACATTTTGATAAGGAGTAGGCAAAGCAATAGTATGAAATAGATTATATTCCTTAGGGGAAACTAGAGGTAATCTTAAAACAAACATAATTTTATTATTTAAACTATAACAAACTACATTAGAAATATTCATTAATACGTGAATTTGACTTATCGTTAAGCTTACAGGTAATTTATAATCTACGCGTAAGTACCTGTAGTTATCAACAAGTTCCTGGTATAATTGCGATGGGCGCAGAATTGATGGATGAAGAATGTTTTTGCTAGCGAGAACAATTGCATTTGTTATGTCTTGTATTTGAAATGATAAGGTGAGAATTGATGCTTCTAAGCTATTGAGGATAGAATGAATATTATTTTCTATATCAAAAATATTTGAAAGAGTAGTAATATTATTTAAAGAAATAGAGAATTTGTTGATAGCTTCATTGAGTACAATTTGATTAAGCTTAATTCTATGTAAAGTATCGTTAAATACACTTAGAGAAGAAGTAGTAATTAATACATTTTGCTTAATTAAAGATGTTATTCTCTTTTCGTTGTCTTGGATGTTTCGAATGGCATTATCATATATAATAGCATCGTTTTCATCTAAAGTCCCAAAAATTGTTTTTGCCAAGGTTCCGACGCCTCCTATCCAGGCTCGTTTAACTCTTTTATTACTTATTAAATGGGTAATAGAAGAATATTCGGAAACCATATCATTGTATCTAATTGTAAGTGGTTCTAGAACATTGTTACATTCCAAATTATTATTCGAAGTTTCGCTTATAAATTGTTTACATAAGTGGCGAGTTGTATTTAAAATGGAATTTATGTTTTTAATATGAGGTTCAATATGAGAAATGTCTATCGGGGTTACAATGTCTAAATGACCTATATTAATTTTAAGTTCGCCGATTTGGTCAAAATATATGCCAGGACTCGAGTTGATTTCGTGAACATACTCTTGACAATAACCTTGAGCCAGAATGCTGTAATAAGAGATACATTAAAATTATTTATTCATAATAATAATTATTGAATATAACTTAGTCTATACAAAAAAGAATAAAAATAATATTTTAAGTAGAAGGGGATATTTGAACATCAACGTGTTTGACTTCATCGTAATGATGTCTTACATGTCGTCTATTTATTAGTAATGATAAAGTATGATTCCCGTGTATTTTGACCACTTTGTATGGGCCTTTCCACAAGGGTGATAAGGCTTTTCGCAGCCTGAGATGGTTTTTTAACATAACGTAATCGCCTACTTTGTAAGTTGCTGGACGACTGTGAGAGTCGTAATAAGTTTTGGATCTTAGTTTAGATTTGTGTATAAATTCAAGAGCTTTTTCACGAGAGTGTTTCATTCTATGCTGAAGCATTTTAACATATTCAGGATAAGTTACCGTAGAGTTGTCGTCATATAAAGAGTCTGGAATTCGTGGTTTATGTCCAAATAATAATTCATAAGGAGAATAATGTGTTGTGGAATGAATTGAGGTATTGTAGGCTAGCATCGCGGTGTATACATAACGAGGCCAATTGTCTTGATTTTCATTGACGTATGTTTTTAGATATTCTTTTAGGGTAGAGTGTGACCTCTCTAAGGCGCCTTGTGTTTGCGGATGATATGGCGATGACCACAACTGTTTAATTTTAAGGAATTCACATGTCTTCTTGAATAGTTCCGCTGTGAAATTGGTTCCTTGATCCGTGAGTATATGTTTGGGAATACCAAACATAGATATGAAGTGTACGAGGCATTCACTGGATTCTTCTGCAGTATTACAACGGATAGGATATGCTAAGGAATATTTAGTAAGATCGTCCTGCATTGTTAAAATAAATTTGAGTCGAGCAGTACCAGATTCAGGTAAGGGACCTACGATATCCATTGAGAGTTTTTCGAAAGGACTTGTGGAGGTCGATGTTATTATCATAGGCGCTCGGTTTGTTCGACGTAAGGCTTTATTGGATTGGCATGACTGACATTTACGGATATAATTTTCAACATCGTTTCTCATATTTTTCCAATAAAATCGTTCACGTATACGGTTATACATTCTAAGGTTACCTAAATGACCTGCGATAGGAAGGTCATGATTTTCTTTAAGGATTTTTGGGATTTCACTAGGGGTAGGGTAAATTATATTATCATGGTAAATATGGATTTTGATGTTAGTTCCGTCGAATAAGTAGCCTAACATATTATATATTTTTACAAAAGAATGTTTATCGAATGGATTTTTAAAATCTGATATGCCGACGTCGTTGATTGTTGGGTAAGTCATCAATATTTGGTCGCGGGAGAATTTTAAGGATTTGTATATATCTGGATAAGAAAATTTGTCAAAGTGATGTACTTTAGTAAATAAGAAGAGATAGTGTTTATTATCGAATGTGAGAGGTAATGAAGTGAATAAGTCTCTTTCCAGTTTCAAGAATTCGTCGCGAGTACTTTCGGGGCAATTATCAAGTACTTCTTGTACATAAGGCATAGATTCATCTAAGTCTATCGAAGTTGGTATTATTATTAAATTTTGTGTGCATTTTAGTAAGCTTTCATTGTGTTCTTTAATCGTGGTATTATATGTTCTTGTAGGGGACTTAAGAAAATGACTATAGTCATCGTCAGGCGATTTATCCTGGTTTTCAGCGGATTGAATTGTTTTGGAATTTGATTCAGCGGGTAGAGGTAAGTTTTCGTTAGGAGAATGTAGATTTTTAGACGATAAGGATTGTTGAGGTCTACGATTCGTAGATACTGGTAA